GATCCTGAGATTGAAGCTCAAGCCAGAGACGAGTGAGATTTCTCTAACATCCGCCATGCTTACTGCTGAGTGATGGGTGTGTGTGTGAAGGCTGCAGCGTGAGCAGCAGACAGCACCACCTCCAGCAGGATCTTAGTGGCGCTGCCTCCTTTCATCCTGGAGGAGCCGCTGATGGCCTCCGGCTGAACACACAGACACACACAGGAGCACCTGAAGGGCTGTCACTCCATCCGATTTGCACTACATGATATCTTGACACCTTTAAGGAGAGTTTCTTACCCCGACTGCTGGGTTGATGAGGAAGGCCTTTTGACTTTTAGCGAGCTCCTCCATCCTTTGCACCACGCTGCGGAAAGTGAAGCTGCATCCCGGGATCGGCTCGTCCCTAAAACATTTGGATGTTAACATTTACAACTAGTCAACATGAATGGAAAAAAGAGTGAAGTTCACACACACACCTGGCCTGATGTGTGGGGTTGAAGCCCACAAGAACAGGGGTGTAGACCTGAGGGTTCTGCAGGCAGAGATCCAGCTGACCGGCTACAAAAGGAGCCTTAATGTCGCAACAATCCATATCTACACATATTAGCTTCGGCTTTCTGCAAGGTTGCAATATTCTGACTCATAAATAACATCCTGTTCAACAATAACTCAGATTCTGGTTCGTTTAAAGTGACTTACGGATAAACCACAGGAAATACCAACGAATAAGACACGCTTCTTTCCCTCACAGACCTGCAGAACAACACAAACAAACTCATCTCTCACACACACACACACACACACACACACACACACACACACACACACACACACACACACACACACACACACACACACACACACACACACACACACACACACACACACACACATGTTCCGGCTGATTAAGCTGGCAGAGCCACATGGCAGTCGGCCCACTGGAGGGAATGATGGAGGGATGGATGGACATTGTGGGGAAGACAGGGAGAGTTTGGGAAGTGCAGAGAGAGAGAGAGAGAGAGTGAGAGAGAGAGAGAGAGAGAGCGAGAGAGAGAGTGTTGGATGGAGGACGTGATGATTGATGGAGAGACGAATGTCACACAGTGGAAATCTAATTGTTCCTCCTTCTAGTGGAAACAGCTGATTTAATTCAGAAAACAATCATCCTGTTTCTCAGGCTTGGGGAGTAACGGATTACATGTAATGGGATTATTGATTTAAAAAAAAGGTAACTGTATTCCCTCACTGTTACGGAAACACGATTATTGGATTAGGTTACTGGTAATTAGTACTTGTAAGTGTTGAAAGAAGTATTCAGATGCTTTACTTGAGTAAAAGTGCCACTAAATTATTGTCAAAATACTGTCAAATTAAAAGTCCTGCATTCAAAATCTTACTTACATAAGTATTATCAGCTAATGGTACTTAAAGCAGGCTAATGAGTAAAGTAGTAATTATGCAGAAAATGGCATCTCTTGTAGACCAACAAAGTTCAGATTGGCTTTGGCTTGAAGAGTTAGTCCACTAGTTACATTTTTAGAAATGCATTAGGGTAAAAGTATACAGCTGCTAAATAAATAGTGGAGTAAAATGACATTATTCCCTTTTAAATGTGGAGTAGAGAAGTATAAAAGTAGCATAAAACGAACTCTTAAAAGTACCTCAAATAAGTACAGCACTTGAGTAAATCTTAGTTACTTCACATCTCTGCTATTTCTATACAGAGTATTGCAAGACCCCCTTAATTTTCCATGCGCGTGCACGTGCGCATGCCCGCGTGCAGATGTGATTTCGGGGTTGAGCTTGTTATCCGGTAGAGGGCGGAGTGAGAGAGAGAAAGTGAGGAGGAGAGAGAGAGAGGGGGGGAGCTGCAGAGGAGCGGAGCTGCGGAAAGGAGAGGAGCGGAAACCCGGGACCTGCAGCCTGAGAACGATGATATGAACCAGGGAAAGCTTTATATTTGACGTAGTTTGGGAGTTTTTGAACACGCAAACACACACACCTGAAAAAACACAGTGGGAGATGCATGACGTCATAGCCCACCACCGTCGCCATAGATGACCGCGCGCAGGACGGGATGATGCAGCAGGGATGATGCTGCTGCTGCTGGACCGCAACGTGTTCCTTCGCTGCTCACCACGGGGCGGTTGTCGTGCATTTCGAAGGAGGGCCGGAAGAGGGACATGGCCGCGGAGTCGGACGGCGGAAAAGCCGGAGCCGCATGCGGCGGGAGCGGCGGCTTCGCGCAGCTGTACGACATGGACGCGGAAGATAACCTGGACTCCGCAGCCATTCACATCTGCATGTGCTGCCGCTCCTCCGCGTGCTACTGGGGCTGCCGATCCGCGTGCCTCGGGACCCTCGTCGGCCAGGCTCCAGGGGGGGTCGGGATCCGTGAGACCCACTGTCCCCCCAGGGAGCAGCTGTGGGTGGACTGCCTCTGGATCATCCTGGCCCTCCTGGTCTTCTTCTGGGACGTGGGCACGGACCTGTGCCTCGCCATGGAGTACTACCAGAGGCAGGACTACCTCTGGTTTGGCCTCACGCTCTTCTTCGTGCTGGTGCCCTCCGTGCTGGTCCAGATTCTGAGTTTCAGGTGGTTCGTGCAGGACTACACGGGAGGGGGGCTCGGGGAGGTGGAGGGGCTGACCAAGAGGGGCGCGGTGGCTTTGGGGTGCCTTTATCCCGGGAAGGACCGCCTGCAGCTGGCCACCATTTGGCTGTGGCAGGCCACCATACACATCCTCCAGCTGGGACAAGTGTGGAGGTAAAACACACACCTGCTCCTAACCTGTAACCCCCCCTATCCCTTTCTCACACACACTCTTGTTCCCCTCACACACTTGATGATGATCATGGTTAGAGTCAGTGGTCTAAAGTAACTAAGTAGATACTGAAGTACTGTACTTAAGTAAAATGTGACGTAATTATACTTACCTTGAACATTTCAATGTTTTGCTGCTTCTACTCCTACAATTCAGAACTCAATAGTGTACTTTTACTCCACTACATTTATTTGATGCCTTTAATTAAACTTGGATGAATGATGTGAAATATAATCAAGTGTTAAATCAGACTTTAGTTCCACCGAGTAAATCCACAAGCGACCCTGTATACAAAGTCCTTCAAACTAGCTGCACCTTTACCAGCTTTGAGAATACTTTAATGATCAATCGTTATAAAACATATCATATATATTATTCTGAAATGATGAATACTTTCACTTTTGGTACTTTCACTATATTTTGAATGCAGGACTTTTACTAAAGAGTAGTCCTACACTCTGGTACTTCTACTTTTACAATATGAGTACTTCTGTCTGGTTAGAGTGGTTTGTCTTCTCGCTGTAGCTATGAGAAAGTGAGGCATGCTTCAGTCTGACAGGCAGGAGAGGAGGAGAAACCATGTGACCTCCTCGGTACTTCAGCTATTATCTGGGCATGGCAGACAGAAATTAGGAGAGACAGTCAGGAAGGAAGGGAGTGCTTCTTTTTCTCTTTTGGGTCACCTTATGAAAAGTCACTGACACTGTCCCCTGTAAAACTACAGTAAGCCTTTACATATGCAACTACAGTTAATAGATGTCCAATTAACCGTGAGATGTAGGGGCTGGAGGCATTCCAGCACCATGGACAGCACCTCCACTGTCTTCTATACTCTTTGGATAAAGAACAGGGAAATCAGGGCTGTGTGAGTGTGTGTGTGTGTGTGTGTGTGTGTGTGTGTGTGTGTGTGTGTGTGTGTGTGTGTGTGTGTGTGTGTGTGTGTGTGTGTGTGTGTGTGTGACGGTTTATGGGACAGTGCAATTTAACACCTTCTGTTTTTTCTGTGAAGCAGGACACTCACTTCAGAGGACACAGGTGTAATAATAATAATACATAATATTTACTTAGTGCTTTTCCCAGTGCTCAAAGACGCTTTACAAGAAAATACAAGAAAATAAATAACAACAAAAACAGTCCTGAGCTAAGTAGAAGGAAGGGGTGGGGTAGAGGTTGAAAGCAGGTGAGTTTTGAAGGGTTTTTTGGAGCTTGTGAGGGAGTTGTTGTGATACAACCTGCAGGACGGAGTGTGTACCTGTCGAGCCAGGACAGCAGACTCTTGGCGGCTCCGATCAGCTCCATCACGGCCGTCAGGAACTCGTTGGAGGGCTGATGGGAGATCTTGCTGTGGTAGGCGGGGTTCTTCCTGCGCTCCGACACTGCCGTGTTCAGGTTGCTGTGCGCCGCTCGCATCTTCCCCACCAGCGTCTTCAGGGTGTCCTTCTCCACACCCAAGTTCTGTACATACATATACAGTATAAAGAAAACATGCTTTAAATTCAATCGATCACATGTTCCTGTTGCATATTAACCTCAGGGGGCTTTACAGAGTGCACAGCATACCACCCTCTGTCCTTAGACCCTCACAGGGAAAACTCCCAAAGAAACCCGGGAGAAATGTAATAAACCTCGGGGAGAGCAACAGAGGAGAATCCCTCTCCCAGGACGGACAGACGTGCACTAGATGTCATGTGTAGAGATTAAAAAGAGAATACATCTACAACATGAACAGTCTAAATGTTAGAAAAGATAATGTGATTAGGTGCCAGCAAAATAATTGAGAGGATGCTTCAGATGCAACAATGTTAGAGCTTACATTTAATATATACAGCACATCATCACAATATAGGAATCTTATATGTTAAAGCTTTAATATGAGAAGCTCTAGACAGGAAGATCTGGCTTCCAGTTATACTTATATCTCATTTTAAAGTACTTTTCAATATGTACAGTTGATTCTTGATTATCCCAAAGCTTAGATTTTTACAAACATATTTAGCAGCTTATCCAATCAGGATAAAGCAAACAAATAGAAATTCATCTGTATAATATCTTGATTCTTACTACAACAGGATGGGGTGTCTCCCTCTCCAACATTCACTAAGCTAAATTCAAATGAATGAGTCATGAAGTCCAATATGCAAATGAGTGCATGACATCAACCGGGGACCTTTGGAGCTAATGTTCGGTACTTTCGTTTTAAGGGTTGGCAACTAGGGCTGCTCGATTATGGCAAAAATCATAATCTCTATTATTTGGGTCAATAATTGATATCACAATTATTAAAAACGATTATCCATTTACTTTGAAAACATCCATTTATTGAAAAGAAAAATGTGAACACTGTGTTTTTAACAGTTGATTACCCTGAACTTTAAGTATAATTCAACTGAAAAATAAATAAAATAATAAAAAATAAAAATAAATAAACGTTTTATTTCGATTACGTTGTTTTCATAATCGTTGCAAGCCAAAATCGTAATTGCGATTAAAATACAATTCATTGAGCAGCCCTATTGGCAACGCCGCACTTTGTTTCAAAGACTTTGTGCCATAAATGGAGCCTACATTTTCAGAGGAAGCTGCAGCCAGTAGCAACACATATTACACAGTGATGCTTACAGGGTGTCAGGCTGCTTCAATATTCTACAGACATTTGTAGTGGATCAATATACACTTCATAATAACTTCAACATAAAAAAACGTTTCCATTTCCTGTATTTGTTTTTAGAACATTTCTCCCTGATCAGAAACACACACACATTCCTTCAAACCAGTCACCATA